GGACGCCCCACACGGCACCTGGCCCTGGCACGGTGAGAAGGGGAAACTGAGGCACGGGGGGGTCAGGCAAAGCAACACCCAGCGCCCGAGGGGGGACAGGAGCGGGGTGCTGCCACGCACCAATCATGCCAAAGATGCCAAGGATGGAGGGGGCAAAGATGACCAAGAGGTTGATGAAGGTCAGCAGGACCACAGCGATGGTGACGTGGCGGATCCAGCTGAAGTCCTTCCCTTGGAACAGCATCTGCTGGATGGCCCGGCGCACCTGGGGACAGGGACAGGGTGTCACAGTCCATCCTTGGAGCCAGGGCTCATCCCAGCCCCTGTCCCCCCAGCCCTGCCAGTCCCCATCACCTCTTCCCCTGCCCTGCCCCTGACACCCAGACGGTCCCTGTCCCCAACCCCTGCAGCCCCACCGTTCCCTGCCACCCTGTCCCGGTGCCTCAGCCCCATCGCTGCCTCAGTTTCCCCTCTCAAAGCCTGGTGCCAAAGCCCTGTGGCGGTGCCGCTTGGCATCCCCACAAAGCCACTGACCGGGAAGAGGACGATGGGGACGGTGAGGGTGACAGCCGTCAGCACGGCCACCCGCACGCACAGGATGAGCACATCGAAGGGGTCCACCTTGTTGTACGTGTGCAGCAGCTCCGACTCCACGCGGCCTGTGGGCACCGGTGGGGAGACGCTGGGTCAGCCCCGGCACCGCCCCGGTGCCAGCATGCCGGCGGGGCCCCGGGCCCCCTCCCAGCGGGCTCACCGTAGAACGTGAGGGAGCAAAAGAGGCCAGCCAAGAAGTACATGATGTACATGACCGTGATGGAGATGTTGGAGACGCACTGCATCTTCTTCTTGGAGGGGCTGCAGTAGATGGTGGGCTCAGCATGGCCCCCGCAGCCCAGACCAGCCCAGGTGCACAGGGGCTCTGCGGCGAGGGGCAGCGTCCCCCTCCTGAGCTGCGTGGCAGGTTGGATCACCCACCACCGACCAGCCAACCGCCCACCCTGGGTCATGACACCCACCTCCCAGGGGTGATACCACCCACCCCGGGTCACATCACCGCTCTCCCAGGGGCGATACCACCCACCACCACCCACCCACTCCAGGCTGTATTGCCCACCTCCCGGGACTGATGCCACCCATCCCAGGTCCTGTCACCCACAACCCACCCAGGGTCGTATCACCCACTGTATCCCCTCACATCCCCAGGGCACCCGGCACGGGTCCCACACCCGGAGGGCGCTGCGTTTGGGTGGGTGCCAGAAAAAGCCCCCCCACCCCTCCCCGTGGGTGCCCCCACCCAGGACTCACTTCTTCAGCTCAGTGTAGATGGGCAGGACCTCGGGGTGGCAGACAAAGGCGAAGGCCATGATGGGGATGGTGTACGCCGTCTGCGCGAGAGGAGGGCGGCTGAGCGCCGGGGGCCAAGCCAGCGGGTGCCACCAGCACCGGGACCACCCGCCTCCATGGGGGGCACGGGGTTGG